CAGTGATATGAGATAAAAGAGACTTTTCTACTAAAGGCATCTGCTACTCATGCATTAGCTTTCCCTGATGGTATCTGATGTCACAGTCATAGTTTGTCACCATTCTAACCATCTCTTCTGTCTCATATTCAACTCTTTCTGAGTGAAGAAATACTTCAAACTCTTATTGTCGTGTATATGTTGCATTTCACTCCATACAAGTAGTGTCGCCATATTTTCAATGCAAAAACCACTGCTGCTAATTCTAAGTCATGGGTAGGATATTTGCTCTCATAGTCTTTCAGTTTCTAGCATGCTAGCCATGACTTTCCCTTGCTGCATCAACACTGCTCCCAAACCATTGTGGAGGCATCAACGTAGATATCATAGTCAATGCCTACTTCTGGCAATGTAAATTGGAGCTGTAGTTAATCTTTTCTTTAGGTCTTGAAAGCTTTGCTCGCATGCCTCTGTCCATTGAAATGGTACTTCTTTCTTGGTAAGAGCTGTAAGTGGTCTGGCTATCTTTGCAAAGCCTTCCACGAACTTCCTATAATACCCCTGCTAAGCCCAAAAAACTTATAACCTCTTTCACTGTCTTTGGCCTCTGCCACTCAAGCACCGCTTCTACTTACTAGGATCCCTGATACACCGTCTTAGAGATCACATGACCCAAAAAGGTAACTTGATCCAACAAAACTCATATTTTGAAAATTTGGCATACAGTTGTTTCTCTCTTAATCTTTGTAACACAAATCTCAAGTGCTCGGCATGTCTTCTAAAGTCTTGGAATAAACTAGATATCATCAATAAACACCACTATGAACTTGTCAAGGACATCATGAAAACTCTTGTTCTTAAGTCTAAAAATTCAAGGTGCATTAGTCAATCCGAATGGCATCACAACAAATTCATAATGCCTATACCTTGTTGTCGAAAGCCGTTTTTTTTTATGGACTCCTCAGCCACTCTACCTGATGGTATCCTAACCTTAGATAAATTTTAGAAAACACTGAGGCACCTTTCAATTGATCAACAAATCATCTATCCTGGGCAATGGGTACTTATTCTTTACTGTTACTTTATTTCCTTACCTGCAAACATTTTAAAATATTTCGTGGGGTGAGCGCTAATCGCTCAATAAGGATATGGCCATTTATAAACTATTAGGTTCATTATACAATATATTACTTAGGACCTTACCTACCTACAAACATGACCTTCATTCTTTGACCAACAAGTTCATAAACATATCACACACTTTGGACTTTTCTCATAAACATAATCACAACAAAACCATACATAATATACATAGAACATATATGACTTATGAAATATTCATGTACATGGCATGCTTATTTCTTTTGTCTTATACTTGATGGTTTCATAGTCTTTGTTATCCGATCGGATTCATTTGAACCATTACCTTGTTCTTGGTCATCACCTCAAAGACTCATGGTTTCCATAAGAATTCCATTCCTCGATCTTGGTTTATACCTCAAGAGACTCATGGAATTCATTCTTTAACATTTCATAAATTTTTCATAGACACCTAAATAAGCTATATGCATTACCATTATGAATGCAAACATATGGACTAACATCTCCCATGCTTAATCATACTATATTCTCCTATAAACTTCTTAACTTAATTCATTCAATTTCTCATACATACAAGAATTTCAGTAGTAGATTATTTAGGGGTTTATTAGAATTAGAAACAAATGGGATTTCCATGAAGAAGGTGGATACCATATAGTTCGTCACTTTTCAAGCAATTTTTACCTTATCTTACAATTCGAATTGATTTTTGCCTAAACATAAAAGTTTTAGGTCTATTTCAAATTTTTTAACACTTTAAGATACACTCAATTGGACTTCTATAACTTCGTTATGACCGATTCAGTGAAGCATGTACAGTATAAGTCTCAAAAGCCAAGCCAAATCTGAATTCTATTCATTTTAACCATGTCACGTCACTTCATTTGCACATTCATATCATTTTCCATGTCATTCTAAGTACAAAAGGCCATAAAAACCTCCCTTTTTACAGAACAAAAAGTGCCAAAACATCGTCCACTACAAAACTCTTAATTGGCATAATCATCCTCCATATGCACACATACACCAATCAACACACCCATTTAAACAATCCATAACCAAAACATAGCATCACACTCATATTAAAATAAATAAATGTAAGTTCCATAAACCCCTAGGTATTATCAATTGTAGTCATAAGGAGATTTTTTTCCTTACCTTAGTATTCAAAGACAAAGACACCCTCCTTAGCTCCAAAGGTTCACCCTTTCTACCTTATACACATAACCTTATGAATTTCTCTTAACAAAAGATCAAACAACTAGGGTTTTGAAACTCACCTTAAACCCTGAAATTGAAGTTTTTTAAGTTTGGAATGTGATCTCCTTTGAAAACAAACTTGAAATCCTATGAAAATTTGAGAATAAATGCTTGGATTAGTGGCTTTTATGGTGGATTTGAGAGATGAAGAAAGATGATATATTTGGGGGGTACAAGGCCGACTACTCTCTCCTTAAAACCTTGAAATATGTATTCCATTGGTACTCTATTATGATTGGTCAATAAAAGTTAGTATAGGTCATTTGGCATAAATTTTTCATATAAGGGCATTTTGGTCATTTCCATCACAACATAATGATTATCACTTATTTAATGCCATTTGACTTCTTTAAAACACTTAACAATTAGCACTCCCATTAGGTAAATGACTAATTTATCCTTGGTGCACTTTTATGGATGCTTAAATGATATGGATTTGTATGAAAAGACCATTATACCTTGGTTACCGTTATGCCATTTAACCATATCAATCAACTTTATGACCATTCTACCCTTATTTCTCTTCAATGACATCACCTCTTACACTTTATAATGGCCACATCTCGAAATACATGTAAATTGACCATTTTACCCTTCCATTCATAAAAAAGAAAATTACTTGAAAAGGTAAATTTCATACCTTAGGGCATCGAAATAATAATGAAGGGTTTATAATCATCCCCCCTTATAAGAATTTCATCCTTGAAATTCAGTTGAAGAGGTCTGGATATCTTTCCTTCATATCTTGCTCAACTTCCTATGTCGCTTCTTCTACATTATAATTCCTCCACGGTATTTTAACAAGCGGTACTTTCTTATTTCGGAGCTCTTTTATTCTTCTATCCAGAATCTGAACTGGACGTTCTTCATAAATTAGTTCATCTTTTAACTCCACTTCATTTGCTTGTAATATATGCGAAGGATCACTAACATACTTTCGCAACAGGGAAACATGGAAAACATTATGGATCCGGTCCATACTAGCTGGTAAGGCAAGTCTATAAGCTACTTTTCCCACTTTCTCTAATACCTCATATGGACCGATATATCTAGGGGCGAGCTTCCCTTTTCTTCCAAACCTCATCACCCTTTTATAAGGAGAGATTTTCACAAACACTTTGTCTCCTACTTAGAACTCTATATCCTTTCTTTTCGGGTCTGCATAGCTCTTTTGTCTGTCTTGGGCCTGCTTCATTCACTCTTGGATTAACTTTACGTCTTCTATCATTTTTTTGTGTCATTTCTGGACCAAGAGCTTGAGCCAATGCATTCTTTTCTCCTATTTCGTCCTAATGTAATGGAGATGTACATTTCCTTCCATACAAGGCTTCATATGGTGCCATTTTAATGGTTGCTTGATAACTATTGTTATAAGCGAATTCAACTAGAGGGAGAATGTCACACCAATTCAACTTGTGATCAAAACAGCATGCCCGTAACATATCCTCCAATATTTGATTTGTTCTTTCTGTCTGTCCATCCGTCTGAGGATGATAGGCTGTGCTGAAATTAAGCCTAGTACCCAATGCCTTCTGCATGCTACTCCAGAATACTAACATAAATTTCACATCCCTGTCTGAGACAATACTACTAGGTACTCCATGTAATCTTACTATCTCTTTGACATATAATTGGCCTAGTTGATCAGAGGAGATCTTGTCTGTAACTGGAATGAAATAAGCAGATTTAGTCAATCTACCTACAATTAGCCAAATGGCATTATAACCCCTTTGCACTCTAGGAAGACCTAAAATGAAATCCATAGAAATATCTTCCCATTTCCAAGAAGGAATACTTAGGGGCTGCAACAATCCTGAAGGGCGCTGATGTTCTGCTTTAACCTGCTGGCACACCAAGCATCTGGTAACATGTGCAATTAAATTTGCTAAGGTCGTAGTCTTTATTTAATTTATTAGAAAAATTAAATAAGTGAATTTACGTTTAAATATGTGTTCGCATATATTTAATTAAATCATCATTATTGTAATATGTTAGTATATAGATTAAATATATATTAATTGATTTTAATTGAAATAATGATGAAATAAAAATAAATATCTAATTGGGAGTGTTTGGCAACATGGGGTGTTTGGGTTGGAGCCCAAACCTATTCCATATGGGAATAGAGCATTAAAATAACACTATAAAAGAAAATGTTTCTTTGTAAAATGCAAGAGATTATTCATTAGTTTATTTTTCTTTAAAAAGGCACAAACACAGTAGCCCCAAATATTCTCCCACGCCAGTTTTGGTTTAGCCTAAAATCAAATCTATTTGATTTTCTTCTTTAATCTTAAAGCTAAGGAGGATCTAGCAAGTCCCTTCTTAGTTCTTTGTGATTGTCTTCATGTGGACTACGTGGGTTTGATCCTACACTTGGGTCGGTAGCAAAAACATTCATTGACAAAGTTGAAGGAGCCTCCAAAGGTGCATGCGTATGTTTCTTAAACCTTGAACTAATTTTTCTGCAGATTTGATTATTTTGTATAAACTATGATTTTTGTACCCAGATCTTGGTTCTAAGGAACAATCCATGTAGTTTATGTTTTTGTTTTTCCGCTACGCAACTGGGTCATTCACTAACAGTTAAGTCCCTTGCTTTGAATACCAAACAGTTTCAACGAGATAAAAGATTTAGTATTCAAAGTCTGGAGAATCAGATGGGTCAAATGGCAATAGCTATAAGTCGTTTAGAGGCTCAAGTTAGAGGGAAGTTACCTTCTAAAACAGTGGTGAATCCAAAGGAAAATGTGAATGCAATGACACTAAGAAGTGGAAAGAAAGTGGAAGAACCAAAGCTGAACATTCCAAGTGTAGCAAAGGAAGTAGAAATTGAAGATGGAATTGAGAAAGAAGAGGCTACAACTGAATCAAAGGTAATTCCTAACTCTTCAATTCAACTTCAGTCTAATACTTGACCTTTTCCTAGTAGATTCGCGAAGTCAAAGAACGAAGAGAAGGATAAAGAAATTTTGGAGATGTTTCACAAGGTGGAAGTGAATATACTTCTGTTGGATGTAATTAAGCAAGTGCCAAGGTATGCAAAATTTCTTAAGGAGCTATGCACCAATAAGCGGAAGTTGAACGGTGATGAGAAAATAATAATGGGAGAAAATGTGTTAGCAGTTTTCCAAAGAAAACTTCCTCCCAAGTGCAAGGATCCAGGTATGTTTATAGTTCCTTGTAAGATAGGTAACACCAGAATTGAGAGAGCTATGTTAGATTTAAGAGCTTCGATTAATGTTGTGCCACGATCTATTTATGCTTCATTAAATCTAGGTCCTGTGAAAGATACTGGTGTTATTATCCAATTGGCTAATCGCACTAATGCATACCCTGAAGGGGTAGTTGAAGATGTTCTTGTGCAGGTCAATGAGTTAGTATTTCCAACTGATTTATACATTATGGATATGGATGATTATTCATCTCCTGACCCTGCACCTATCTTACTGGGAAGACCATTCCGAAATACAGCTCGGACAAAAATAGATGTTCATGATGGTACCCTCACGACGGAATTTGATGGTGAAGTAATTCGTTTTAATATTTTTTATGCCATGAAATACCCAACTGATGTTCAGTCTATTTTTGCTATTGATGTTGTTGATTCTGTTGATTCCATAGCACAAGAGATCTTTGAGCTAAATAATGCAGATGAGTTAGAGGTTGCCCTTACCAAACATGTGGAATCAGAGGAGAAAGGAGAGATAGAGCTCAGTGAAAAATTGAAGGAGACAGTGGTAGCTTTACATTCTTTAAAACCGATTCCAGAAAGGTATGGAGTTTCTTTTATAAAGCTGCCTGATTCTCACCATAAATTATTGCCTTCTATTTTGCAAGCCCCTACACTGGAGTTGAAGCCATTACCAGCCCATTTGAAGTATATGTACTAGGGAGAAAATGAGACATTGCCAGTAATTATGTCGAAGAAGTTAACACCTAATCAAGAAGAGAAACTGGTTCGAATACTGCGGGAACATAAGGAAGCGATTGGCTGGACCATAGCTGACATTAAGAGGATTAGTCCTTCCATATGCATGCATCAGATTTTGCTTGAAGAAGGTGCCAAACCGATACGGGAAGCGCAACGCAGATTAAATACCCCAATGATGGATATGGTGAAAAAAGAAATCCTAAAGCTTTTAGATGTTGGGGTAAATTATCCGATTTCAGACAGTAAATGGGTAAGTCTAGTGCAAGTGGTCCCAAAGAAATCTGGTATTACAGTTGTGAAAAATCAAGACAATGAGTTGGTCCTTACACGTGTTCAGACAAGCTGGCGTGTGTGCATGGATTATAGGAAGTTGAACTTAATAACTCGAAAAGATCATTTTCTACTTCGCTTTATTGATCAAATGCTTGAGAGGTTAGCTGGTCATATTTATTACTGTTTTCTTGATGGATTTTCAAGGTATAACCAGATTGTCATAGCACCGGAGCATCAAGAGAAGACGACATTCACATGTCCATTTGGTACTTTCGCCTATCGCCGAATACCATTTGGTCTCTGCAATGCTCTAGCCACATTTCTGCGATGTATGGTAAGTATCTTTTCAGAATATGTCGAGTCAATTATAGAGGTTTTTATGGATGATTTTAGTGTCTATGGTGATTCATTTGATCAGTGCTTACATAACCTTACACTAATTCTAGACAGATGCATGGAAACTAACCTTGTACTTAACTGGGAAAAATGTCATTTTATGGTAGAGCAAGGTATAGTTTTGGGGCATATTGTTTCATCCAAGGGAATAGAGGTTGATAAGTCTAAGAAAGATTTGGTTACAGCTTTACCTTACCCTGCTAGTGTGTGGGAAGTTCGATCTTTTCTTGGCCATGCAGGTTTCTATTGGAGATTTATCAAGGACTTTTCAAAAATCGCATTGCCCCTATGTAGATTGTTACAAAAAGATGTGGCTTTTTCAGTTTGATGAGCAGTGCAAGGAGGCATTTGGCAAGCTGAAAACATTATTGACAATAGCACCGGTGATACAACCACCTAATTGGGATCTACCTTTTGAAATTATGTGTGATGCGAGCAACTACGCATTAGGTGCTGTCTTGGGTCAAAGAGTTGGCAGAGCTTGTCACGCCATTTATTATGCATCCAAGACCTTGAATGGCGCCCAGCTCAATTATTCTATGACTGAAAAGGAACTTTTATCTGTTGTTTTTACTTTAGAAAAATTTTGGTCATATTTGTTGGGTGCTAAAGTCATTGTTTTTTCTGATCATGCAGCTCTTAGGCACTTGCTCACAAAGAAAGAGGCAAAACCGAGGCTAATTAGATGGATTCTTCTACTCCAGGAATTTGATTTGGAGATTAAAGATAAAAAGGGAGCAGAGAATGTTGTAGCAGACTACCTTAGCCGTTTGGTTCATGACAAAGATGAGCTTCCTTTGTGAGAAACGTTTCTGGATGAGCAATTGTTTTCCATTGAAATGGCGTCACCATGGTATGCATATATTGTAAATTTTTTAGTTACTAACATGTTGCCAAAGGATTTGACTAGAGCTCAAAAGGACAAGATCAAGAGTGATGCTAAGAATTATGCCTAGGACTGTAACGCCCAACATGGAGGTACATGATTTAAATTATGTTTTATAGCCCTTAGTTGATTTTTGTTAGAATTATTTAAAGAGAATATGAAGAAATTGCCTTAAACTTGCATTAAGGGTAAAATAGTCTTTTCACTCAAAATCAGTTGAAAAAGTAGGGAGTGAAAAGAGAGAGAATTTCATAGAGAATACAATAAAAATGAGGGCATTATGGTAATTGACTAAGGGACAAAGATGGAATTTCTAAGAAAGAGTAAGGGCAAAATGGGAAAGTGTGGTTATAAAATAAAATGTTAAAAGTTTGAAACCCTTATTTCTCTCATTCCACCGCCACTCTCCTTCTCCATTTTCTCTCAATTTTTCACTCAATTCTCCAAGGATTTTGGGGGCTTTTGAGTGGATTTTAATAGGGTTTTGATCCTAGGCAACAAGAGGTAAGAATTCTTGCTCTTTATCTATGATTTATTTGTGTAAAAGTTGAGTTCTTATGAAGTTTATGCTTAGGGTTAAGAGAGGGTTTGAATCCAACAAGAGTAGAGAGCTTAGTAGAGACTATTCAAGTATAAGGTAAGTAATTCGACTCAAAATCCAACTTAAATTAAAGTTTAAGAAATCAAGTGAGTAGAGATTTCTTTTAAGCATGCATATGTTAAGATTATTGAGTAATTGAGATGAGATTGATGATTATTTATGCTTGTTGTTGGATATATTTGAGTATGAGAAGTGTATGTGATGGTATGATGATGGGTTGAAATTGGAAGAATTGGACTTTTGGGAGTGTTTTTGCCGTGTAGGTATGGAGATGATAAAAGAGAGTTTTTCTCTCAATTTGGATCGCTTAAGAAACAAATAGAGTGATAATTAAATTAGGGTTTGTATATGCACATTTAATGTTTGATGAAATGCCTAAGAGAAGCATGAGTATGAGTAGAAACCTTAATTGTATGAAACATTGCATAGTTGTATTTCATGAGTGCATTTAAGTAAGAATTTTAAGCATGAGCCATCCATATGCATATATTTGTATATGTGTAATAAGTTAAGAAAGAATGAAGAATTTTTAGAATAAAACACCTTAAGAGTAAAGAGAAAGAAAGAATAAGCATTAAAGAATTAAAGAAAGAAAAAAAAAAAAAAAGTGGTAAAGAAGAGAAAAGAATAGGTTGGTGTGATGGGGAACCGTGAGTGTTAAGAAGAAATTCCCACATACACGCCACCTTGATTGAGTGGCATAAGAAGAAGAAGAATTGCACGACTCGTAAGAGTGTATGTGGATGAGGGTTGTACCAAGAAGAATTTCTTACATGCACGCCACCTTAATTGAGTGGCCTAAGAAGAAAGAAGAATTTGTACGGTCCGCAAGAGTGCATGTAGATGAGGACTGTACTCACTCACACGGCCAAGGTTCCAAATCCATGCATCAACTGAGACCGATCGGCAAAGAATAAGAAAGAAAGAATAAGAAAGAATAAGAATAAGCAAGAATAAGAACAAGAAAAGAAAGAATAAGAAAGAATAAGAAGCTTGAACAAGCAAAGAAAAGAAAAAAAAAAAACAAGAAACAAAAGAGAAGCTTGAGCAAGCAAGACAAGAAAGAAAAGAAAAGAATAGAAAGAAAAGAAAAGAAAAGAAATAGAATAAGAAATAGAAAGAAGAAAGAAAATGCATTGTTATGCATTATTGCACATGCATTTCATTCATGCATATTACCATGTATCCCATCATGGTTAGAAAGAATAGAAAGAATATGAAGAAAGAAAGAACAGTGAGAAGGGAAGAACAATCAGAAATAAAGAACAATAAGAATTAGCAACAGAGAAAGAAAGGAGAAAGAACTAAGAACGAAAGAAAGAAGAAGAGAATTAAGTAAGGAATGAACTAGAGAAGGAGAAGAGTTAAGGGATTTACTTACTAAGCATTTTTTATGCTCACCCCGTTGTTTTTCCATGTTTTTGTAGGGAATAGGTGAGCAGCGGTCGGAAGGACGTCAACAAGCAGAGAGGATTGGCATTACTGTCCACCGTTACTAAGTTTTTGTACTTGTTATTTTAGTATATGTAAAGAATTATATTTTAGAAGTAAAGAAAAATTTGGGCCCAACTATTTTCATATGCTAAGTATGTATAATTTTATTGCATATATTCTCAAATATACTAGTAGAAAGAAGTCATTACATTTTTGGTATCAAAGCAAAGTTTTGGGATTTGACAGTGTGCCATTCTCACCGCCGCAACGTTCTATAGCCGACCGTTGTACGTTAAATTTTCTTTCCTTACTTTAAGTATTGCATGAGTTGATTAAATGTGGTTGTTTTGTAGATGAGACGTAGAACCCAAGCAAGTACGAAGAAAGTAGTGAGTATGGGGGAACCTTCTAACCCGCCAGAACCTGCTCCCCCTACCTTTGATGAAGCTAGAATCCGGGGATTGTACAGCAAGTCTTAGAGAAAGACAGGGGAGAGTTGAACTAGAAAGAATTGAAACCCTCGTTCAAATACCACCTACTATAGAAGAAAGAGAAAGGTTGGTACCCCCGATAGTACAGAATCAGATTGAACCGATTTATGTGCTCCCAAGTCAACATCAGCCATCCGACTTTAAAGGTACAACGGACCTTTTAGTGGCAAAAGAATGGTTTAGGTCTGTTGAGTGTACGACGGCACTGTTTCCTATGACGGACAGGGAGAAGATCCGATATGCTAGTTTCTTGTTTTGGGGTGATGCTCGAATTTGGTGGGAATTGATGGAAGACACTCATGATGTTTCGGTGATGACTTGGGGCGAGTTTAGAAGATTTTTTGATGCCAAGTACAGAACAGTGGATCGGGTACATGAGAAGATACAAGAGTTATTAATTTGAACCAAGCGTCCAGTACAGTGAAAGAGTATTCTGTGAGGTTTAATTCCCTTCCCAGGTTTGCACCCAGAATAGTCAGTACCCCAGAATTGAGAAGAGATAAGTTTGTCCATGGGTTGAAGCTAGAGATAGCTCAGGATGTAATGATAGGAGTTGAGCCCCCTCAAACCTATAGTAAAGCTTTAGAGAGAGCTTTAAAGGCAAAATTTTTTGCAAACAAGCTCACCCCAGCGGGACCAAGTGAACCATCTCCTGCTCCACAGAGAGAAAGATTTGAGAGTGCAAGAAATAGAGAAGTGAAGAATAAGAAGAAGTTTCAGCTAAAGAAGAACATAAAAGATTGGCAGAATAAATGGCCGAGAATAATGGAGTTTCCCCCATGTCTTAAATGAGGGAAGACTCATCCAAGAGAGTGTTTGAGAGAGTTAGGCCGTAATGTGTGTTATCGCTGTCAGTAGCAAGGGCATCTGATGAAAGA